CCTGCTTTATAGCCCAAAGTCTTCACACTTTGTTACTGGCAACACCTGCCTTTGCATTAGTTGCTCAGGCTGTTTAAAATTAAGTCATTTTGACTGTCTTTATCTCAGACATCTAATCCAATGACAAATCCTTTCAGAGTTCAGAATTGATTTCTTATCGCCTGCACTGTTAAACCTGTGATCTGAGTCGCCATTCTCTCTTACCTGGAAAATGGCTACAACTTCTTTACTGGTCTCAGTGTAGCCACTCTTGTCATTTCTCTGTCAACTCCCAACATAAAAAAAGAGAATGACCCTCTTCAGGTATCAAGCAAGTCACTCCTCACTCAAAACCTCCCAAGGACTCCCTCAATTTCTCAGGCAAAAGCCACAGTCATTAATTATTTATTCCAGCCTCAGTGTGCTACACAGAAGCTCTGGCTTCTGTTATCTCCTCTGTCTCACCTTCTACTTTCCTCCTTCACTCCATTCCAGCCACAGTGTTTTCTTTGCTGTTTCTTGAAAATACTGGATAGTTTCTGTCTGTCTCCCCTCACTAGAATGTAAGCTCAGTGAGAACAGAGATTTTCATTTATTTCATTTACAGCTGATCCCCAGTGCCTACTATGGTGTCTGGAACATATTAGATGTTTACTAAATATTATTGAATGGGTGAATGAGTGAATTGATGAATAGGTATTGAGGACGTAGCCAAGGTCAAGTCTGCTCCTGTGCCTGTATTATCTAATATTAGAAAGATGCTTCAGTGCTTCTATCCCTGCCTTGGCCACTGCCTTCCATTAAATTGCTGCCTGTTGTCTTTGCATTGATTAATTCTGTGTTATTTCCTGCTCTTTTGCAACTTGAGCCCTCTGAGTCTTTTTTCATGCCTCAATCCCAGCTGAAATGCCTTCTGCCCTTTCCAACTCGGGAAATCCTATGTACCCTTCAGGACTCTGCTGTCTTCCTTCTTCCATGACACTTTCTCTGACAATTTCACCTCACCTTGACTTCTCCTTTGAATGAGATATTAGACAAAATGCAATGAGAACTTTTAGATTTACAGGAAATGTGAGCAGGTAGCACAGTTCCTACTCTTCTCACACATTGTCCCATGCAGTTTTCCCTATTACTAAAATCTTGTATTAGTGTGATACATTTAGTACAACTGATACACCATGATTAACTAAAGTGTATAGTTTACATTAAGGTTAACTATTTGTTCTGTTCTGCTCTGTGAGTTTTGCCTAATGTGTCCATTCCACTACATAAAAAATTCCCTGTGCTTCACATGTTAATCTACACTACCTCCTAACCATTGGCAATCACTTACTTTTTTGTTGTCAGCATAGTTTTACTTTTCTCAGAATGTGCCATAGTGGGAATTATGTAGAATGTAGTTTTCATTGTGTTTTATTTTTACTTATTAATATTCATTTTATATTCCTCTATGTCTTCTTATGGGTTGATAGTTTATTTCTTTTTATTGTGAAATAATATTCTACTGTATGGATATAATAGTTTGGTTTTCCACTCTCCTATTGAAGGACATCTTGGCTGCTTCCAGTTTGATTATAAGTAAACCTGCTGTAGTCTTTCTTGTGCATTTCGTGTGTGTGTGTGTGTGTGTGTGTGTGTGTGTGTGTTGGGGGGGAGCATTGTCTTTCAAATCACTAAGGTAAATACCAACCAAAGTGACTGTTGGGTCATATAGCAAAACTAAATTTGGATTTTTTAAAAATGTCAAATGCTCTTCCAAAGTGGCTGCATCATTTTGCATTCCCACCAGCAATGATTGAGATTTCCTATTGCTCTACATCTTTACCAGATTTTGGTATTTCAGTGTTTTGGATTTTGGCCATTCTAACTGGTATGTAGTAGAATCTGATTGTTGCTTTAATTTATCATTTGCTAATGCATATGACATTGGGTATCATTTTATGTGCTTATTTCCATCTGCATATCTTCTTTGATAAGGTATGTGCTCAGATCTTCTGCCCATTTTAAAATTAGGTTGTCTTCTTTATGAGTTTTAATAATTCTTTTTATGTTTTAGATACCAGATCTTTACCAGATATGTGTTTTGCAAGTATTTTCTCTTAGTCATTGTATTATTTTTTTCTCCTAATTAACAGTATCTTTTACAGAGTAAAAAGTTAAAAATTAAATTGAATTTTTAAAAAATCAATTAAAAGTTAAATACTTTTGATATTGTCCCCAAAAAGTCATTATCAAACCTAATTTCACCTAGAATTTCTTTGTTAACTTCTAGAAGTTTTATTGTTTTGTGTTTTACATTTAGGCCTATGATTTATTTTGAGTAATTTTTGTGAGATGTATAAAGTCTGTGTCTAGATTTTTGTTTGTTTGTTTATAAATGTATGTCCAAGTATACCAGCGCCAATTGTTAGAAAGCCATAGTTTCTTGATTGAATTGTCTGCTTTTTTGACAATTATCAGTTGGCTATATATATGTGGGTCTAATGTTAGCCTGTTTTGTTTCATTGACCTATTTGTTCTTTCATTAGTACCATACTGTCTTGATTACTATGACTTTTATAGTAAATCTTGAAGTCAGATATTGTCTGTCTTTTATCTTTGTTCTTTAAAATATGTGTTGGCTCTTCTGAGATGTATGACTTTCTATATAAACTACAGTGAAAGGCTGGGGTTGTGGCTCAGTGATACAGCATTTGTCTAGCACATGTGAGGCACAGGGTTCAATCCTTAGCACCACATAAAGAAATAAACAAATAAAATAAGGCATTGTGTCCATCTAAAATTAAAAATGTTTTTATTTTAAAATTTCAGAAATTCAAGTTAATTTTTGTAATTGCTTTTATTTTTTAAAATACATGTCAGCGGAATGCATCACAATTCTATAGTACATAATTTTTCATATCTCTGTATATAATGTATGTTCACACGAATTCATGTCTTCATATATGTACTTTGGATAATGATATCCATCACATTCCACCATCATTGCTAATCCCCTGCCCCCTCCCTTCCCCTTACACCCCTCTGCCCTATCTGGAGTTTGTCTATTCCTCCCATGCTCCCTCTCCCTACCCTACTATGAGTCAGTCTCCTTATATCAGAGAAAAAATTCACCATTTGTTCCTTTTTTTGGTGGGGGGATTGGCTAACTTCACTTAGCATTGTCTTCTCCAGCTGCATCCATTTACCTGCAAATGCCATGATTTTATTCTCTTTTATTGCTGAGTAAAATTCCATTGTGTTTATATGCCACATTTTTAAAATCTATTCATCTACTGAAGGGCGTTTAGATTGGTTCCACAGTTTAGCTATTGTGAATTGTGCTGCTATAAACATTGATGCGGCTGAGTCCATGTAGTATGCTGTTTTTAAGTCCTTTGGGTATAGACTGAGGAAAGGGATAGCTGAGTCAAATGGTGGTTCCATTCCAGGTTTTCCGAGGAATCTCCATACTGCTTTCCATATTGGCTGCACCAGTTTGCAGTCCCACTAGCAGTGTGTGAGTGTGCCTTTTTCCTCACATCCTCGCCAATACTTATTGTTGTTTGTCTTCATAATACTTGCCATTCTGACTGGAGTGAGATGAAATCTTAGAATGGTTTTGGTTTGCATTTCTCTAATTGCTAGAGATGGTGAACATTTTTTTATATATTTGTTAATTGATTGAATATCCTGTTGTGAGAAGTGTCTGTTCAGGTCCTCAGCCCATTTATTGATTGGGTTATTTGATTTTTTGTTGTTTAGCTTTTTTTTTTCTCTTACCCTAGAGATTAGTGCTCTATCTGATGTTTGAGGGGTAAAGATTTGCTCCCAAGATGTCAGCTCTCTATTCACCTCACAGTTTGTTTCTTTTGCTGAGAAGAAACTTTTTAATTTGAATCCATCCCATTTATTGATTCTTGGTTTTAATTCTTGTGCCATAGGAGTCTTGTTAAGGAAGTTGGGGCCTAATCCCACATGATGGAGATTAGGGCCTACTTTGTCTTCTATTAGATGCAGAGTCTCTGGTTTAATTCCTAGGTCCTTGATCCACTTTGAGTTGAGTTTTGTGCATAGTAAGAGATAGGGGTTTAATTTCATTTTGTTGCATATGGATTTCCAGTTTTCTCAGCACCATTTGTTGAAGAGTCACAATCAGTTAGTGTGCGGTACTTATACAACTAAAAATAAATTTTTAAAAAAACACAACCTAATTGGTCAATATCTACTAAATAATTTCCTGTAATTTTGATTGGGATTGCATTGAATCTATAGATCAAATTGCAAAGAAGCAATATCTTAGCAATACTGAGTCTTATTTGTGAGCATGGTATATTTCTCAATTTGTTTAGATATTTTATTTCTTCCATCAAAATTTTATAGTTTTTCTCATATAGACATAAAAAATGCTTAGTGATATTTGTGCCTAAATATTTTGGGGTTTGATGTTGATGTAAATGGTATTTTGGTTCTTTTTCCTAACAAAAGGGCATTTTTTTAACCAGCATCTTATTTTAAATGCTTCATATTATGATGAGTCAGTAGTGCTTACAAAAAGAAGAGGGCTTACAGGGAAAAGTATCAAAATAAGGCATAGCCTTTTATTGTCACAGGTCAGTATTAAGCAGTAGTGTTCTTCCTGGAAGGTACAAGTTGGACATCTGATTACCCAAAAGTTTAAGATGTGGCTCTGAAGATAATATCAAATGACCAGGATAGTGAACTTGGGATGGATTCCCTTAACTAGAATCAATGGCAATGAATTAGTGACAACGTTAAGTCTAGATTACAGTACTCTGGTGTCCAGTCATCCTCTATTGTTCATAGGTAAATCTGTACAGGCACTGTGCAAAACATGGGAGGGCTGGCCCTCTGGTTTGGAGTGCATATTAAAAAACACAGGCACATAGCCTAGAAAGCAAACTTTATATGAACTAACAAAAATAATCATTTTGAAAATAACAGTAGGTAAGCTGGATAATATAGCAGGTTCTAAGTCAAAAGTCTTGAAGAGGTTTCCTGAACAGAAGGTTTGAGTTTCGCTAGTTCTTCAGTAAGAGATGCTCCATATTATGATGATATGATGATGATGGCGATGATATGATGATGATCAGAATGCTGATTCCTATTGCCCACATCTTGCAATTCTTCCACCAATATTTTCTCTTAAACTTGGCAGCACTTGTCTCAAATTGAGACGCTCCTGCCTGCAATGCATCTGCATGGTCATCTAGCTCAGAGAGCTTCCAGTCTTTTTCTAACACGTTGTCCATATTGACTCTCATTATGTCAACAACCTCACCTACTTGAGTTTGTGTCTGCTGAATTCTCCAATTACTGCCAGTGGCAGCACTGGAACCTGCAGGCACAGCTTCAGACATTTTGGCAGCGGGTGAGGGTCCGGTATAGTGTTTTTAAACTTAAATTCCAATCACTGATACATAAATCTTCCTCTAACCACTGCTTTTGCTGCATTCCACAAATTTTGTATTTTTTTCCGTTTAGTTCAAAAATATGTTTAATATATCTCAAAACTTCTCCTTTGGCCCATCTATTATTTAGTTTTCTGTTTAATCTCCAACTGTTTGGTGAGAGTTTTCAGTTATATTTCTATGTTTTTAAATTTCTCACTTAATTTCTTTGTGGTCTCTGAAAATATACTGTTTGATTACCATTCTGTTAATTTGGTTGGAAGGGGGGTACCAGGGATGGAACTTAGAGGCACACAGCCACTGAGCCACATCCCCAGCCCTTTTTTATATTTTATTTAGAGACAGGGTCTCACTGAGTTGCTTAGCACCTTGCTTTTGCTGAGGCTGGGTTTGAACTCACAATCCTCCTGTCTCAGCCTCCTGAGTTGCTAGGCTATTCTTCTAATTTTTAAGTTGTATTTTATTAAAAAAAATATGGTCTATGTTAGTGAATATTTTATATGAACTTGGGAAAAATGTGTATTCTGTCATTGCTGGATGAACTAATTCAGTTAGATTGACTCAATTGATGGAGGCTGTTCAGTTCAATCATATCTTTATTCATTTTCTATTTTTATTTTATTGGTTCTTTTTAGTTTTTTTTCTGTAGCTAGATCTATCATTTACTAACAGAGAGGTATTGAACTCTTCAACATAAGAATGAATTTGAGCCAGGTATGGTGGCACACACCTGTAATCCCAGTGGCTCATGAGGCTGAAGCAGACAGGTCACAAATTCAAAGCCAGTCTCAGCAACCTAATGAGGCAATAATCAATTTAGTGGGAGCCTGCCTCAAACTGTGAAAAAATACAAAAAGGCTGGGATTGTGGCTCAGTGGTTAAGAGCCTCTGGGTTTAATCCCGGATATCAAAAAATAAATATAAAAAAAAAGGAATGAATTTTTTGGGTCTTCCTTTTTAAGCCATTCTTATAGTCCCTATTTTTTAATCCATGTATTTAGACCATTCTCATTTATAGTAATAATAAAGTTAGATCAGTATCTACCATGTATATAACTTTTTATTTATCTTACTTCTTTGTTTCCTTTTTTGCTTTTTCTGCTTTTAATTGAATATTTTAAATCATTCTATTTTCTATTTATGTGTCTAGATAATAGAGGTTTCTCTAGATTTTGCAATATATATTTGTATCTAATTTAATTCCACCTTGAAATGACATCATTGTTAGAACAAATACCATATTACAGAGTATTTCCAATTCATACCTCCTGCCTCTCATAACTTTGCTGTCAGTCATTTCACCTCCTAGTATAATATAATCATCCAAATACACTGTTGCCATTAGTTTGGTGTAGTTACTCTGTATCTATTAGGTAAAGAAAAGTAAGAGTTTTTAATGTTCACTCATTCCTTATTGAAAATTCTTCCTTTATTTAGATAGATTTGAAATTTTTATCTGTCATTTCCCTTCTCTCTGAAGAATTTTTTTTAACTTTTCTTTTGAGGCAGATCTACTGATAATAAATTCTCTTACCTTCACCTGAGACAGTACTTTCTTTTTCTTTCTTTCTTTTCTTTTTCTTTTTTTTGAGACAGTACTTTCTTACTTTTGAAAGACAATTTCACAAGATAGAGAATTTTAGGGATTTTTTTTCTTTCTTCAAGTATCAATTTAAGTATTTCATTCCAGCCTCCTCTTGCTTACTCGGTTTCTGATGAGCTATCTTTGTTCCTCTATTAATAAATTTCTCCTCTCTTCTGGCTTCTTTCAAGTTTTTGTCTTCATATTTCTTCACTTTAAACATGATGTCACTAGGTGTGGACCTTTTTTACTTTTTTTGGTATTTATCTTCTGAGCTTCATGGGTCGGTCTATGGTTTGGTGTTTGTCGTTAATTTTGGAAAATTCTCAGACTTAATTACTTCAAGGATTTCTACTGCTCCTTTTTTGCCTTCTGGTATTCTTATTGTGCATATTGTATATACCCTTTGTAAATGTGCCATGGTTATTGGATATTTTGTTTTTTCCCCCATTATGTTTAATTTTTGAATTTCAGTTTGGGAAGTTTATATTGTTAGCCAAATACACTATACTAATGAGCCCATCAAAGAAATTCTTCATTTTTTTGCAGTGTGTGTTTGTTTGTATCCTTACTTTTTATACCATTATTTATTTTTTTTATTTACTTACTTACTAATTTACTTATTCTTATGTGATGCTGAGGATTGAACCCACTGCCCCACACATACTAGGCAAGCACCCTACCATTGAGTCACAACCCCAGCCTTATATCATTTCTTTTTTATTCTTTCTTGGAGAGTCCCTCTCTCTGCTAACATTACCCATTTGTTCTGGCAGGTTGTCTATTTTTTCCATTAGAATCCCTAACATATTAATTATAGTTATAGTTATTTTAAATTCCCTGTTCAATAATTTCAAAAGCAATGTCATATTAATCTGGAGTCTATGCTTGCTTTGTCTCTTCAGACTTTATTTTTTTTTCTTGCTTTTTAGCATGCAATTTTTTCTTGAAAGTCAAGCATGATATATTGGGTAATAGGAACTGAGGTGATTAAGCTTTTACTTTGAGGTTGTATGTTAATCTGGCTAGGAGCTGGACTGTGTTTAATGTTTGTAGCATCTGTGGGCACCAGATGCTTCAGTTTCATTTAGTGTCCTTATTTTTGTTGCCTTTGCTATCCTTGGGTTTCCGTCTTACATGGTTTCTTCCCCTCCTCCTCTGGAAACCAGAATGGGAGTTTTTCTCCAGTCTTCACTGTGAAAACCTGGTGGGGTTCCTGGAGACAAAACCCATGAAAATGTAGCCCTATCACCCAGGCTCCCCCACCAAGAATTTTTAACTCTTAGTCCACAACCTCACACAAGTCATCAAAACTAATGTTTAAGTTTTTCTACCACTAATTGGCAGCTTCTGCTTCAGGTAATCTGATTTGTGTTCTGATTTTCTGTTTTCAGCTGTCTCTAGATTTTGGGCTGGTGGTTTGTCCTGTGAACTAAAATCTCTGGGTCTAAAAAAATACATTGATTTTTTTCAATGTTTTTCTTGTTATGAGCATAGGAGAAACAACTTAAAAGCTCTTCACGTGTCAGAGCTTGATATTTGACATGTGAGTTGGAATTTTCTTTGTAGCTTAGGGTTGAGTGCCAGGGCTCATATTCATAGCCCCAACAAGTTTCATTTTACCAAAGAGTAAAAGTATTAATCTTAAAGGTGTCTGTGTATCTATTTCATTATAAGATAATTTATTATTTTCTCTTTATTCATTGAGGACAGGTAAGCATGTAGTCAGTGGCAGACACTGAGTTACCTGAGTCAACTCCCACACCCAGCCTCATTTTCTTTTACCTAAGAGACTAGAAAATGTAAATGTGCATGTTTCCAACCAACTCTGCAGTAAGAATGGCTGAATAACTTTTTTTTTCCAAATAAGATGTAAATAAAAATCGACTGCAAAGTTTCTGGAAAGTTTTTGCTTTTTTTCTTTGATATATGAGTCAAACTTGGCTTATGGTACCTCTTCCCCTGTTATGCTTGTTTTCATCATGGAAATGATGCCCAAAGGTAGGGAAATTTTGAGGATGGGGCCAAGAGAATTACCATAGCATCACTGAAGTTTTGCCAACAGCCACTTACCAGCAGACTTCTTGGGTGAAAAAATAAACTTTTGTTTGAGACTTCCTAAGCTGCCTTTCCTGTAACCTGCAGCCCATATGCATTTCAGACTGATGAAATACCTAATCTATATGGAATCTGAGGTACAAAACCAAGAAATCAGACTAATACTAGGAAAATCAGAAGTAAGCTTGGCTAGAATGGAAGACTCATGCTGAGGCCCATCTAGTGAAAGAACTAAAGCAGAGATTAGTCTAAACAGTTGTTGAAATCCCAAGGACTAGAGGTTTGCTTATTGCTACTTGTTATCCACATGGCACATGAGATGTGGAAGGGCTATTGATTGTAAATTCAAATTTGCCAGCAGCTTGATGTTTCTGGGCTTCAGTTTCCATATCCACATAATGGGGATAAAAGTGTGTTCCTCATTAGAGTGTTGTGCCTGAACACAATAAGTGTATTTTTCTCATCCTTTTTGGTCTCTCAGAGATTATTTAAAGTGGTTATTAAGGCTGTTTACTGCTTATGCTGGGTCACGATGCATTGAAAGTGTGACTCTGTTTGTCAATATTGTTACATTTGATTACATTCCACTTAAACCTGACAAATATTTACTTACATAAAGAGTTCATACTATTTATTATTCTCACATAACAAAAACTCTGGAGACAGGAAGTGAGGAGCTGGTATGGATACTCCTTCTGCTTCTAACTCATACTCCTTGCTGTTCTCATATTCCCACGTTGATTGTTCCTTCTCCAGGCCTTGAGGTTACATTTTATGCAGGAAAACTGGGGAAGAACAGGGTGCAAAAAGCACATGCCAGCTGCTCCTTTTTTTGTAAATGAAGAAAATAACTGTCTCTAACAGAAGCCCATCTAGTAGACTTTTGTTTACATTTCATTAGTTAGAATAATGTTACATGGCCACACATAATGGCAAGAAAGACTGAAGATGATAGCCAGACATGTTGCTGTCCTAAATTAACTGAATTTCTTTGGGAAGAAGGTAAGACAAATGTTAGATATGCAGTTAGCTGTGAGTACTACATTCTACATATCCAGTGACTCGCAATGGTGAATTCCTCAAAAGAGCAGAGGGTGTGGGTTGAGCTTAGAGTGATTTGCTCTTGGTCTCTATGAAAATGTTGCCAGTTTTGAGGGAAGAAAGTCTAATTTCAGTAGTATAATCTGTGACTATCATATGTTGACACAACATTGTAAAACTTTCTTGCTCTCCTTGATATTGACAAATAAGACTTTTCAATATTAATGCAGAGATATGTTTTCTATAACTCATAGTACCTAGCCAGAGT